AACAGCCTAACATCAACAGTAACTGAAGTTAGTTTCACATTGAACTGAACACACTGAAAAACAGCAGAAACAAATGGAGAGAAACGTTTGTCATAATACATTAGCATCATGTGTATATGTATCTGAGTGGATATGTCCACACGTACATAGCACAATACTGTCACTATATTCAGACTTCTGGATAACATAATTCAACGTGGCTGGACTGCAGCTGGTTCGCTAACCTTCGCTTGCTTGCTAACGTTACTGCTGACAAAATCCTATTGGAGTAGATATGCTAGTTGGCTAACATTAGCTAAAGTGATCCAGGATACTAACTTTTGTTATTCTGGCAAACGGTGTTGATTTTAGCCAACAATAAATGATGCTAATGGTAAAAAGCTAACAATAGCTTCCTGCTAGCCAAGAGCGATGCGAGGCAGCAGGAACTCTGAACCTCTACAACGGAGGTGGCGAGAGCAAAGTAACAGAACAATGAAAACTAGAATAAATGTTCCTTTAAGGACGCTGTGAGACACTCCTCCTCCTCCTCCTTCTCACCTTCAGAGCTCTTCCAGGTGGTCCACATGTCCTCCACGCTGATGAGTAGGTCGGCCCGGTGGAAGCTGCTGTGTTTGGCTTTGGGGTCGTGATACTTCATATCCTCCCTGAGAAACTGAAACAGGTTCCGACATTTTACCGTAAAAATAAATCAGCCCGGCACATTTTCCGTTCGGCCGGGAGTGTCTGCATCTCACCTCGTCCGTCTCCGTGGCGTCTACAGTCCCGTCAGCATCATCGTCCATCAGTTTGTGGATGCTGCAGATCGCTTCGAAACTCAGCAGAGAGTTCTCGTCCTGACAGAGCTGCTGGTCTATCACACACAGGTCTACAACACAGGAGCATTATTGTTATTAATATTGATATTACAGAGGACATTCGGACCTCAGTGATGAAGGTCAGTGTGTTTGTGGCCAATGGAGGGTTAGGGTTCAATTGCTGCCCTCCTCACTGATCCACGATGAGATACAGAACAACATCAGCACGATAATAATTACTCTATAAAATGTCATAAATGTTTGTGTAAAAGAATCCGAGTCTCAGCGAGCGTCTGACAAACTCTGTTCCTCAGACCAAAAGCAGCAACAGGAGGGGCACACATCCATCTTTTCTGGCTGCCATCTTTGTTTGGGTCGAAGAGCAGAGGAAGAAATACTCCACAGTGACTTATAAACACAGAGCCTCTGCGTGAGCCACAGACACAAACAGCACACGGGAGAACGAATATATATAAAACGTCTGCCACCATGAAACCAGGCGGTAGAAACACTACCACTTTTGTCCACAGGGGGCGCCACAATCAACTCAGAATGAAGGTTCCTCACTGCTGCTTTAAGTTAAAACTCTGGATTCATTCTTTTAGTGGAAAAGACAAAGTATGGAGGATTTAGTGCCCTCTAGTGGTGTATGCGAGACTGCAAACTCTCTTCTCGCCTCACCCTCCCGTTCCAAGCATAAAGGAGAAACTGTGGTGGCCACGTGAAAAACATTGGTTCATTATATTTAATTTGATGGTTTATTGTAAATAAAATCAATTAATCAATAATGGTATTGATTATTGTTCCGTAACAAACAGCCAACAAGAACTGCAGCAGCAGTGTGAGTTCCTGTTAGCCTCAGTTAGCAGTTAGCATCCCTGAATCGGCTGGTTCAATCCCAACTGTGATGGCCTATAAAAAGGTGTCTCGATCACCAAGCGTGTCACACACAAAACATCTCGCATGATGGGTAAGAACCACAAGGAGCCTCTCCTCAAGACTCTATCACAACCCTGTATTGTGTTTGCAAAACATTACTGGGGATGGGGTCATTGGGTTACAGAACAGATTTTCTAAACCTCCTGAACTGTTCCAGTGACGCACTGGTTGGGTGCCAGTAATCCGGAAGTGGCAAAGAACATCACTTTCACCATAAACCGGCTCAAAGACCTAGGCTGCTGCCTCGCAAGATTTCTGACAGAGGAGTGGAAAGAATTATCAGAAGAGGTTGTCTGAGAGCCAAGAGATCACTTGTGGGAGAGCTTTCAGAAAGACCTGGAATTAGCAGGTACACTATTGTTTCAAAGAAAACAATAAGTAATGCACTCTAAACCGCCATGCCTGTATGCACGCTCACCGCACAATGTCATTGCTGAAGAAAAAGCGTGTTTGAAGCGCGTTTAAAGTTTCCCTCCACAAAATTTAGACAATCCTGTGAAATACTGGGAGAATATAGTCTGGTCAGATGAGACCAAAATTCAACCTTTGGATGCCATAATTACACACGTGTGTTAGGAGGTCAAATGGCACACTGCACATCACCCCAAAAAACCATACCAGACAGTGAAGTTGGAGGGGAACATAATGGTGTGGGGCCTGTTCTTTTCAGCATACCGCACTGCTAAACTTTTCAATAATTGAAGGAAGGATGAATGGAAAAATGTACGCGGACATTCTTGATAAAAAATCTGCTGCCATCTACCAGGATTGATGAAGATGAAACGAGGGTGGACATTTCAGCAAGACAATGAGTCCAAACACACAAGCCAGGGAAACTCCCTCACGGTTGGTTTCAGAAGAAAGAAATAAAGCTGCTAGAATGGCCCAGCCAATCACCTGACTTGAATCCAATAGAAAAATCTATGGAAAGAACTAAAGATCAGAGTTCATAGAAGAGGCCCACAGAAACTTCAAGATTTGAAGAGCTGTTTGTGCGGAAGAATGGGCCAAAATCACACCTGAGGCAATGCATGGTGACCTAGTTTCTCCATTACAGGAGGTCGTCTGAAGCTTTCCATTACAAACAAGAGGCTTTTGTACCAACGTATTAAATAAATTTCCGTGTATGCGTGTTCGAATACTTTTTCCCTGTGTCATTCCCAGTTTTACTTACACATAACTTTAATTTCTCGGAAAGTGATTCAATTTGGTTTCTTCCCTGTGTATGGTGTGGGGTTGCATGGGTTTGTTTTACCCCGATCATCTGGTTGAAAATTTCTGACAATTAGCAGCCTTTAGACAATTATATTTACTGAGAATAATGGTGACGTGTTTCAACTACTTATTTTTACCCGCTGTGTACAATGTACTATTACTAATAATAATCCATCCGATGGCTGGAAACACTGATGGTGGACGTGAATGCTTTTGACCACTACCCCAAAAAGGTCATAAAGCACTACACACACACTCCACTCACACTCTCTCTCTCTCTCTCTCACTCTCTCTCTCACCACACACACACCTTCACCTCCACACTCCACTCTACTCTCCTCTCTCGCTCTCTCTCTCTCTTTTTTTTTTTTTCTTTTCCTTTTTTTTTTCCCCTTTTTCTCTCTCTCACACACACTCACACCACACAACACACACACACACACACAGTGAGTGATCCATGCAGAGACTCTCTTGGAGACTGAAATGACCAAAGGTAGTCATGAATGAAGTTTCTCACCCTGTTTCCAACCTGTGTTAAACTTGCTGCGTTGCCATGGTGATGGCGGCGCTGGCTGGCGGCTGCAGAATAAGCCGCTGGTGCTATGGAT